TGACTGTGGTGGCCAAATGACGGGCCTGACAGGGCCAAATGACAGAGCCAATGTTACTGGATCCTTACTTATTAATGATTGGTTTTTATTGGTTTAGCTGAAAAGTGAATAGAACGGCTGCTTGTCCACAAAGTGAAGCAAGTTAATGAGCAAGAGATACCAAAACATAGTACTCAACCTAATATCAGTATCAAAAGGCAATGAAATTGTTTTCAGAGAAATTTCTCAGTCCCAAATTCACAAATGATCAAAAAACTGTTAGGGTTGTTTGAGTGGGGTTTGAAAAATTGAGGATTTACTGGGGGAAAGGGAGGGGAAATGAGAAGAACAAGTCTATCAGAAAAGAAATAGAGAGGAAAGAAAAGGAGAAAGAAAGGAGAAAGAAAGAAGAAGAAAACGAAGAAGAAGAAAAGAAGAAGGAAAACGAAAAGAAAGCTTTTCGCCTCAATCGAGGTGCAATGCAAATTTTATTAGTGTCGACGACTTTTACGAAAGAAAAAGTGATAAAATGAGAAGAAAACCCGGGAAAAGAGTTGATAGGAATTTGGATTCATTTCTTTTGATTGATTCGATTTGGATCTTATTGCTGATGCATTCTTCCTTACTATTAGTGCACCAATCTTGATCAAGATTACTTATCTCACTTGTTCCATGGTTCGTAGTGAATCAAAAGTGCAAACATACTCACTCTGGGGCATTTAATTCTTCATTTTTGGGGTTACTGTGAGAAGAATCAAGATTTGATGCACTGAACAGACATGTTTTTAGTCTTTGAGACAGTAATACTGGAGCTTTTTCAAGCAAATTATTGGGGGCTGGTCAAAACAGCGCCATAATATAAAACGTTCCAAATAGCGCCGTCAAATCTCTCACAATCAAAAAACCAAGCCGGTTCAAGTTTTATTTCAAAAAATTCCTTGCGTTCTTGGCTACATGATGGGTGAAACACCATCAATAACGATGTGATAATCGGAGCTAAGTGATTTCGCAAACTCAGCAGAGGAGACGAATGATGGCACAATTATTGTTGGTGGAGAAAGAGGATGAGACGGACGGTTGAGGGCGTAAGTTGGATCGATGAGATGGTTCATCCCGTTTGTTTGGTCCCACTTCGATCCATTTGTTCCCGCCATGACGACCATTTGGGGCTGCTGGCGCAGGATGAGACATCGCATTGCGGTTAATCATCTTGCGGTGACACACCTCAAACTTGGGTAATTAAACCAACTGAGTATCACTCGACACACGTTTTGAATGCTCTTTTTATCTATGAAATATTAACTTTTTTAAAAACTGTTTCACCCATCATGTAGCCAAGAACGTAAAGGAATTTTGATATAAAACTTGGAACCAAGAACGCAAGGAACTATTTGATATAAGCTTGGTTTTTAGATTGTGAGAATGACGGCGCTGTTTTGAACGTTTTCTATTATGGCGCTGTTTGACTACCCCCTAAATTATTGGCTAGGAAGGGCAAAGCTTGATAAATGGATTAAAATGAGTCAATAATGTTCTAGAGTTTAAGATTGAAACAAAGCAATTGCAAAAACAACAAAATAGTAAGCTCAAAGCTTAAAATAGTAAGCTCAAAGCTTAAAATAGTAAAGCATGAAAGCATTTCTCAATATTGACTTACCCTTTTCTCACATTTTCTTTCTTTATGCTAAAAATATTTGCGATTCGATGAAAAAAATGATTTCTATTTTTAAAAAAAGAAAGACAAAAGAAAAACAAAAGAAAAACAAAGAAAAACAAAGATCGTCTGCCAATGAATATTTTGACTTCTCAGCAACAGTCTGTCAATGTTTTTCCCAATTTTAAAAGTTGCAATGATTGGAAAATCGTCAAAAGTTCAAAGGCAATGATTGAAAAATTTTCAAAACCAGTTTGCTCAATGGATAACTAACTTAATAGCTTTTTAAATGATTTCTTTTTGAATAGGTAACTTTTTTTTCTATATAGCATTTTTTAAAATTGACATAAGTAACATTTTTCTCACAATCAGTTTAGATTGTCGACTAGAAACGACTAGATCGACTAGAGACGATTGAAGTTTAGCGCTAGATTCAGAAGTAATTAGAAAAGTTTGTATTTTGTAATTAGAAAAGTCATTGCTGAAGATACAGGAAAGATTTTCGTTAAAAATTAATTTGTTGAACTCAACAGAAACTCCAAATTGTGGGATAAGTGCAAGAAAGTTGTTTGTTTTGTTTGTTTTGTTTGTTTGTTTGTTGTTTGTTTTGTTTGTTTCAACTGATTCGTAAACAACTGACTTCAAGATCATAACCCTATATTGACTTTAATGTTATGGAAATATGATCGACAAATACCAAAATACATTAGAAGTATTGAAAAAGTTAAAACGTTAAAAGTTAAAACGTTTTAAAAACACAAATCAATTTGAAAACTGGAAAACAACAAATCTGATTCGAATTGGCGCCGATTTCCCCTGTTTATGGAGACTGTTTGTGAGAGTTTTGTGGTTAGGGTGAGATAGGGCAAAGGCAGACAAATATAGGGAATGAAAAGAGGAGACAAACATATTTGTTGCACACATTCCAGCCCGAAAAAGACCTTTCCTCTTCCCTCAAATCAAACGACCTTCCGCTCACCACTTTCGGCAAAACCACACCCCACTCACAGCCAGACTAATAAATATCATGAAATGGGCGATGGTCCTGAAATGAATTGAAAGTGGAATTAGATGTGAAGTTGGTATTTAATAATGTATGAAACAAAGTGAGCCCAATACACAGAAGGAGCCGCTTGTGGCTCCAGAGATTATAGATGATTATTGTAAAATTGTAGGGATGGCCCAAGTTCAAGGCTTTCCGAATTAAGCCAGAACAACTAAGAACAACTAGAACAGGCAAGTCAAATCAAATCAAACCAGAAGCCAGAACAAACAAAAAAATAAACGTAGAAACGTAGAAAAGAAAAAGAAAAGAATTTGAAGTTAAATCTAACTTTTAAGCTTTTGTAATGAAAGTCTAAAGCTAAAGAATTAATTTTAGGAAAGCACGCCAGGAGCACACAGACTTTTCGAGCACCAGGAAGTCGACGTGCAATCGATGGAAACGGCATCGGGTGGCGGATGGAGAACGGCCGGACGAGCCGGACCCGCCAGTGCAATCATCACCACAATGCCTAATTTTGCAAATCAGTGAGAACAATGAGACGTCCTCTGAGTGAGAACAATGAGACGACAATTCTCGAATTCAAGAACTAAATAGGCAACTTGATGATGTAGCAATGAGAGGATGGTTAAAAGACACAAAAATGTGAAGCCAAAAAAGAGATGATGAAAAGCGAAAGTTGATTTGGAAACTTTAGAAACTGATTTGAAACTACAAAAACTTTCAAACAGATAATTTACGCTTTTCAGACTCTAGATCTTGTTATTTCTATTTTGGCCCAAGGTTTCTCACCAATTGGTAATAAAGTTTGGAAAGAAATACCAGAAGAAGATCCTAAAGCTATTCAAAACATTAAAACAAAAAGTTTATCCAAGGAAGAGTCGAACTTGAGTGCTATAAAATTAAATGAAGAACTAAAGTTAACTAAGGGAAGGGAGTTCAATTCAAATTTGCGGCACATTCGAGATTAACTGCGCGTAAAAACATGTACCATACAGGTAGTAAAACATTTTGATGGGGATATGGTGAGAGGAGTAGGCGGTCGATTCATTCCTTTGGCGACACGAGTCGATGGACATGCATCATTAAGTTGTGACGTGGATCAAAAAAAATGTCTAGCTTTGCTTGAGCAATTGTTTCTTAAAAACAAGTATCCGGATCAGATGAGGTTTTGACTCATAAGGATAAGGACAAATATTTAATTGTTATTGAGAAGAAATTCCGGAGAACTGATGTTTTGGTTTGGTTAGGAAGTGGAAGCAATGAAGTTGAGAGTCCTACTCAAATTTGTCGCTTTGGAAGTGTCTTACAATCGTGTTGGTTTAACAGAATGCAGAAAACTATCTAAAGTTGAAATCATTTTAAATTCGAATAGCAGACCATCATTTGAAACTATTTGGTTGGTGAGTTGAAGACTGCGGGCCATTGTCATATGTGACAGTTTGAGCACTTTCTTCAAAAGAAACCCATTTTGGTGTCAATGGAAAAGTTGAAGAGAATCAAAAATCAAGCTTATATCCAAATTTTCAGAACGATTCAAAAGCTGGGTTTCAAGAAATGTCAAATTTACGAATTTTCACAAGCTTGCAACAAATCTTGCATTTTAAGCGAAACTACTAAGTGTATCTTTTTTGGAAATTTGGGTATAAGCCTAATTTTTGATTCTCTACAACTTTTCTATTGACACCAAAATGGGTTTCTTTTGAAGGTCCGTGCTCAAACTGGGATCTCAGTCTCCATCTCCAGTCCCTCCATTTTGAGTCTCACACTTGTCTCACACACAAACCAAAATCCTACTACGAAAGAGGAATCCGCAAATTGCCTGTAAAATGGGCAGAAGTCGTCAATAATAATGGAAATTATTTGGAATGAATTCATGGTTTTATGTTGAATAAATTTTAGTTCAAAAGTCCCGCAGTTTTCAATTCACCAGCTTAATAGAAAACTGAACAAGCAATATATGAATTGACTTTTCCCCTGTACTGGAAATCTTAACGAAATCTGGAAAGCTTGCACAGACTAATTGTCAGTGAAAATCTAGGTTATCAATATAATCTCTAAACAAAGTTCTGTGCTTATAAAGCTTGACGATTCATTTCAATGGTTTTCTTTAACTTTGAATTGTGAATAGTTAACTCCTTTTATGTAAATAAAATAAAATAAAATATTTATGCCAAAATTTCGAATCAAGAAAATTAAAAAAAATACATATTGAATACATAGAATAAATAAATTATTAGTTATGAGAACATTAGGAAATCGGAAGGGAGACAAGTAAGAAATGTGGGGAGAAATGAGGGGGAATTCGAAAACCCTAACTTCATAAGCTAACATTTTGATGGAAGCGCAGTCATTTTGTCACTACCCGGTCACTTGATCATAATAGTCGACATTTCCATCTTTCGATTCCTCGGTTTTCACCTAGAAATTTGTTTTGACTTGCTTACAAAAACTCGAATTCTTGAGCTTTTCCTTGTTCGACGTTTTTAATGTAAACGTAAAGCATCTGGCACCACTAAAGCTCTTGTTTTCTGATGGAATTGGTGTGCCAGATGATCAAAGTTTACGTCGAAAAGAGGATCAAGTGATCCCAGAAGGCAATCTTCAGTGAAAATCGGTCAAAGGCGTCCGACTCTAGATCTGATCGACTCTAGATCTGATCGACTCTAGATCTGATCGACTCTAGATCTGATCGACTCTAGATCTGATCGACTCTAGATCTGATCGACTCTAGATCTGATCGACTCTAGATCTGATCGACTCTAGAGCTGATCGACTCTAGAGCTGATCGACTCTAGAGCTGATCGACTCTAGAGCTGATCGACTCTAGAGCTGATCGACTCTAGAGCTGATCGACTCTAGATCTATATACTGCCGTTCGAGAGTTCGAATCCCTCCCGTGGAATGTTTTTTTGACTCTTTGGATAAACATTTTGGATTTAGAAATCATCCAACATTAGATTTCAATTTTTAAACTTACATAAGATTACAATATGGCAATTTTGAGTCCTATACTAATTGGGGACGCGAATGGGCGCAAATGAGCGCAAATGGGCGCAAAAGGGGCGCAAATGGCAGGAAGTTTGCATTTAATGCGCAAGTTTATTATGTTCGAGATTTTCAAACGCGCTGAATCGAATAAAGAAACATGATAAACAACTACTCCCACCACTCAACATCTCCATTTATTCTTGATTCCAGCTGGCCTACAAGTACAATGATATGATTAGAATGATTAGAATGATAGATTAGAATGATTTTTCTTGATTCTTTCTGGATTCTTGAATGAAACGAGTTCTTTCTTGATTTCGTTGCCGTTAGCATATACTTTTAGCTTCATTTCATTGTTGCAGTTGGGACAATTGCGTTGATCTCCCCAGAAAAGTCCTCGTTCAGCTAGTCAAGCGTCAAAATCATCATCAGTATTTATTGCTAAGTTAGGCCACTCCGTCAAAAGATTGAACGCACGCAAATCTTGCTTAGCTGCAGCAGCATTACCCGCTACCTGAAAAATCCGAATTTCAAGTTAAATTTTTATAAGAAGTTTTTCACAAAAAAGTTACATAGAGTCCAAAGGCCTAAACATAATTGGACACGTCTGTGAAAATTTGATTTGGCTGTATTTCTTGAATAAATGCTTCTTTTCACTCTAAAATTTTAAAAACACAGAAATTAGATTTGAATTTTTGCATTAACGCGTTGAGATTGGTAGCTTTTTATGATGATAAAGAAATACGGCCAAATCAAATTTTGACAGGCGCGTCCAATTATGTTTTGTCGTTTTGGACTCTATGTAACTTGTTTGTGAAAAGCTTTTATAAATCTAACTTCAAATTCGGATTCTTCAGGTAGTTTTACGTAATGGGCAACCTAATGGGCAACTTTTGGGCCAAGACTCATTTTCTTAAGATGAATTTGATTGAATTTGATTGAATTTGATGATTCAGACCTCGAAATTTGGCCAATTTACATTGGAAATGGGGGTTAGTGCAAAGCTTTTGTTCCGCTACTTTACTAATTATGGAGGGGCGGGGCAAATGAGCCTGGTCAAACGAAATTTGCATTTAACGGACAAGTTTTTGTATTTTCCAGGTTTTCAAACACCCTGAATCGAATCTAAACATTTCCAAATCCAAAGCAAAATGATTTTCTTATGATTTCAAAGTTTACTTATGATTCAAAGCTGATGATGTTTACCAGGACTCATTTTCTTAAGATGAATTTGATTGAATTTGATGATTCAAACCTCGAAATTTGGCCAATTTACAATCGAAATGGGGGTTAGTGCAAAACTTTTGTTCCGCTACTGTATAGCACCAAATTTTGTGCTATAAGATATCTTAGAAAATGAGTTCAGCATTACTAGACGGTAATCCCTTGCTATGGTAATCCCTTGCTACGGTAATCCTTTGCTAACATTTAGCAAACCTATGACTTTACCCTCTATGAAATCGGATTTTAAATGAGAAATGGAAATAGGCTTCTAGAGGCTGGCTGAAAATTATGTGCGCCTCGTTTTCTTTTCATTGACAGCGCTCTGCGAACATTTTTCGAAGAAGTTTATGTTTAAAAAAGTAGCTAAGGATTTGTAGTTTTTAAAAATCAAAACCGTTTTTCGAAATTTCTTCTAGTTTTTTAGTTATGCTCTTTCAAAAAAAGGCCACTGCTTAAATTTAGAGTTTATTTAGCTTTGAGGTTGAAAAATGCTATTGAAAGAAGTGCGGAAAGTCATTTTGTGTTGTACAGTCTACAGTCTACAGTCTACAGACTGTAGACTCGTTTCTTACCTGACATTTCGTCCCATAACAATAATCAGCCGATATCCGCAATCGATCCTTTTCGAAAACCAAATCCACCGCGTGTTGTTCGAAATCGAAAATGATTGGAAAAGCCATTCCCTAAAATGCCATTCCCATTTTCGCTTTCTAACGAATTCTCTGCAACAAAAACCTTCATCTTTTCTCCCATTTCATCATTTAGCACCAATTCGATGAGCGCGTTCACCAAGAACTCCAACGAATTCGCATCGATTCCCTCAACCGTTGACGAGACCTGGAAAAATGTTTTAGTCGATGTAAGCTAGTCGAAGCTTTCAAAAGTCGATTTAATCTGGGATATCGATGCTGTTTTATTTTGTTTTATCTTCTATTAGCAAGCTTCTATTAGAAAGCTTATTTTTGCACTTACATCTGTCAATTTGAACTTGTCAATGCGCAATTTCGCCTTGAAAACATAATCCAGAAACTTCGGCTCATCGTATTTCACCTCAACAGCCATGTTCGCTGTCAGAAAGCGACGGGTTCGATCGGGTTGCTGAAAAAAAAAAGTAAAATAAGTTCTAGATCTTTTAGAGCCAAACTGTAATTACATAATCACAGAAAAAATAGATAAAGATCATTGCTCTTGTGACGAATCTCAAGCTTGCTCAAAGCTTCAAAGCTTCAAAGCTTCAAAGCTTCAAAGCTCAAAGCTCAAAGCTCAAAGCTCAAAGCTCAAAGCTCAGCTTGTTCAACTCAACTGCAAGCTCAGCTGTAACTCAACTGCAAGCTCAGCTCAACTCAACTAGGCTTGTTCAACTCAACTTGTAATCTCAACTTGTTCTACAGCACAAAGCCTAGCATAGACAAATCCGGCTTTTCACACATAAATAGTCTTGAAGTCAATCATTTTAGCTCATTTAGCTCATTAGCTCATTTCTCTTTACCTGTACATATGCGTCGATCTTGTTGTCCACATAAATGATAGCTTTACCATCGTTTAAGACAAGACGTGGATACGATGAGGTGTGCGATTTGATCACCACCGAACCGGCAGCGAATTTCTCTTTCAGTGCTGAAATGACAATGGTCAAAAGGGTTGATAATGATTTGACTGATGATTGATAATGATGAATGAGTGCGCTATGAAAGGTATGCTTATGCGGCAAGTTTATGCGGAAAGCAAGAAATCTACTGTACTCTCTTTATGCCACTTATGGGATTACTTAAATTCCAGGTTGGCTTAGCTTCCAGCTTCCAGGCCTCCAAGGTTTCAAAGCGTTTTTATATCAATCTATCGTTTTTATATTCCGTCGTTGACTGCCTGCATGGCCGACTGGCTAAGAGCTCTGTATCTTACAAGGTAAGGTCAACTGGCTGAACGAAATGCTATGCGACCTATACCATTCAACGCAGAGTTTGATGCTGATTCCGAATATGTATTCCGTTTTTTTTAAATGACAATCTACCAGGAGTTATAAGCGTCTAAAGTTTTGTTAGTACTCTGAAAATGTGGTTATTTGGGCCTTAGGGGCCTCCTTGCGGTCATTTGGGTCTTAACCATCTTCAGTGCGGTCGTGATCGAGTGGTACAGCTTTCGTTTCCAATGCGAGACCTCACAGGTTCGACCTAGTAAACACTTCTTGAAAAGAAGCAAGAAGCGAGATCCAAAGTAGGGGTCGAACCTGTGAGGTCTAGCTCTGGAAACGAGCGCTATACCACTCTAAGAAGGCCTGCAAGTAGGCCTGCGCTAAAGAAGGCCTGCAAGTAGGCCGCTAAGACCCATGGATTTGTTAGGACTCTGAGAATGGCCACATTCTTAGAGTCCGAACAAAACTAGACGCTTATAACTCCTGGTAGATTGTCATTTAGCAAAAACAGAATACGTATTCGGAATCAGCATCAAATTCTGCGTCGAATGGTATGGATCGCATAGCATTTTACCGGCTCAGCCAGTTGTCCTGCCCTTGTTAGTCAGGTCAAGGGTTCAATCCCTGCTAGATTCTTGGTTCTCCATAGCTATCCATATGGATAAATGTATTTCTTAACCCCGGCCCCCCCCCCCCCCCCCTCCCCCTTGGGGTCCCCGCCCCCTTTCCCTTTAATTCCCTATTAATTTCTTTCTATTATTTTTGTTTATAAAAAATTTAAATTTATAAAAAAATCCTAAATTTAATATATTTTCCTTTTGTTTTCAATTTTTTTCTTTTATCCTATCCCCTTATTTATCCTTTTCTTCTCCTCTCCTTTTTTAATAATAAAATTAAATAAAAACAAAAATAAAAAAAAAATTACGAAGAAACTCAACGCAAATTCCTCCCCAATTCCCCCCCCCTCCCCCCCCTTCCCCAATTCAAATCCGTCATTTTCCCCTTGACCGGGTGCCCCCCGGATTGGAGGGCCTTTCCTCTTTTTTCCCCCCTCCCCCAAAATTAAATTTTAAAATCTTTTCTACTACCCCCCCGTCCCTGGTTTTTTTGTATTTTTACCGAAGGGAACCCCCCCCATTATATTATTGTAATGTTATTTTTATATAAAAAAACAAAACCCAATACTCCCGTCTTTTTTTTTTTTATATATTCTTAAAAACAAATTTTATCGTATTTCTCATAAATTAGGATATTTTTCCAAAAAAAAAAAAAAAAAAAAAAATATTATAAATAATAATTTGCCAACCTCCCCCGGGGAAGCATACGTCCCCGGGGGGGGCCGGCCCCTTTTTTTACGAAAAGGGTTTTTCCGCTGAAAATTTCGAATGGGTTAATCAATTTCCCAAAAGAAACTATTCATTGTCATCTAGTTACCTGGGAAAATCGTGCCCGCACAAATATCATCCTTTCCACAATCCGTCCTCAAATACCCAGCCAGAGCCGAGTTATTTTGAGCTGTTTTTGAGATCTCATAGTCGAATTTTCTAAATGTGAAATGAATGGGGGAAACTTTGGATAGATTGCCAATGACAAAGGGGACGAGGCGCGTATGTCCCACCTTTTATACGCGCCCCGCCCCGCCCCAATAACCATAAACCAAGCCAGCCTTGGTTTATGGTTATTGACTTTTTATTCACGCCCCGCCCCTTTGCTATTGGCAATCTAACTTTGAACTCAAATAGCTTGATGTTGGGCTGTGTAATTTAAATAGCTTTTGTACCAATCGATAGAGAAAGACTTGGTGCATCTAATTATACCAAAAATGTTCAAATTGAACAATCCAGCACCAAGAAATTTAAGATCTTTAAGATCTTTTATACCTATATTGATCCATCCAAAATAGTAGACTTCCTAGTGTGTAGTTGCTAATTAAAAAGTCGACCATGCGACCGCTTTCCGCCTCGACCTCTAGGTTCCCAGCTCGGAATGGCAATCGGAAATCGTTTAGTCTTGTTCTTCCTAAATGAAGTGTCAATTTGCATGTTGTATTTTCAAAATATGCCTTTGATTTAATGATAAAATTGCAAAAATCCTTGTCAAAATGTCTCAAAATGTCTCAAAATGTGTCAGAATGTTTCAAAGCGTCGCAAAATGTGTCAAAATGTCTCAAAATGTGTCAAAATGTGTCAAAATGTCTCAAAATGTCTCAAAATGTCTCAAAAGTCCAAATGTCTAAAATGTCTCAAAATGTGTCAAAATGTGTCAAAATGTGTCAAAATGTGTCAAAATGTCTCAAAATGTCTCAAAATGTGTCAAAATGTCTCAAAATGTCTCAAAATGTGCCAAAATGTCTCAAAATGTCTCAAAATGTCTCAAAACGTCTCAAAACGTCTCAAAATGTCTCAAAATGTCTCAAAATGTGTCAAAATGTCTCAAAATGTGTCAAAATGTCTCAAAATGTCTCAAAATGTCTCAAAATGTCTCAAAATGTCTCAAAATGTCTCAAAATGTGTCAAAATGTCTCAAAATGTCTCAAAATGTGTCAAAATGTGTTAAAATGTGTCAAAATGTGTCAAAATCCTTTGTCTCACCTTGTCTCAAAATGCCGAAAGTGTTTCCACGATGTTTCAACAAAATCTTATCGCTGTCGAATTGAACAGGTCCTAAAGAATGATTTTCTTATATAAATAACGATCTTTTGCATGTTCTAATTCATAATTAAATACCTAAAAGCCCATAGTTGATGAAAAATTGATCAAAAAGTGATGCAGAAAGCGGGGTGTTCATTAAACGATTCGAGACCACCGGTACCAATTCCGAATGGAAAGATGGGCAAATGATCTGGAAAAACAAAGACAATCATCTGCTTTTCTCTGCTTGTGATTCTGCTTGTGATTCTGCTTGTGGTTCTGCTTCTGATTCTGCTTCCCAAGTACATACTTGATCCAAATTCGCATTGAGATACTCTTGAACTTGAGGCCATTCCTCGCCGAGTTGCCCAATATCGCTAGCTGCCAGCTGGAGTGTCCCGGAACCGCCGCTTACCTAAAAGCTTACTGTAGTCTACTAGAAGCTTACTGTATTCTACTAAAAGCTTACTGTAGTCTACTAAAAGTTTACTAAAATCAATATCTAATAGCAGATTGTCCATAGTAAAATGCTACCTTACTACCTTATGTAGCAAAGAGATCCAAAAACTTGTATGCCAAATATCTCACGATAGAGAAGCTTCTAGAAGATCAAAGAAGACGGTCAATAGGGCCAATAAAGCGGTTGATAGATTGCTATGCCCAAAAAAAGTTGCAATTCTTTAGAGTTTCAAACCATTTGCTGGCAAAGCCGCAAAGCCGCGCATACTTTCGGTCAAAATTAACTACCGTAAAAGCTTTAATAGTAGCCCCCCTCTAACAGTGTCCTAGAGGGTCAGCAGTTTACTTTTTTTGCTTTTTACTTGCAAAGTCAAAGCCGTACACTTTCTTTCAAATGTTTCTTTGCATGTCATCATGTTTTTGCATTCGTTTTCAAAGTTAGAGTAGCGAGTAGCGTGGCGAGCGGCTCTCAACTTTGGAAGGTTATATAAAAAAGTTGAAAGATTGAATCGATTTGATAATGGGCACCGTTTTAGGAGATATACTTAAGATTTATGTCCAGAAAAAGCAGAACGATTGACCCAATTTTGGTCAATCTAGGCCCTCTGAAGTGCGGCGGTATAATTGTGAACCGCGCTCTTAGGATTTCTTGTAAAAAAAAGTAGTAAAATAGTAAAAAGTAGGCAATAAAATATAGTAAAAAGTAGGCAATAGTGAAACGTAGTAGTCGTAAAATAGTAAAATGTAGGTTAGTAAAAGGTGACTCACTTTACAAGTGACGAGATCCGTTTTCAAATGCCCATCAGCGTTGACGCCCGTCCACAAGAGAAAATCAATGTTTGCACTAGAATTTTGAATAGATTAAGATGGTAAGAAGATTTATTTGAGAAAAATTCGTTTGAAATTGATGTAAATTGCTGTAAATTACTGTAAATTGCTGTAAATTGCTGTAAAACACGAAAAAATGAGCCTACTTTTCAATCAACAACGGCGCTGTTCCAATTAACTCCCCGGCGTTCGTCTCAATGGTGAACATTGTTGACACAGAGATGTTAAGACTTTTACCCTGAATTTGTTTTATTTCTTGAAGAACTTTGATAAGCTTTGATTGCTAAAGCTTCCTTTTAAGCATCTCATTGTTAAAGCTTCCTTTTAAGCATTTTATTGCTAAAGCTTCCTTTTAAGCATCTCATTACTAAAGCTTCCTTTTAAGCATCTCATTGTTAAAGCTTCCTTTTAAGCTTTGATTGTTAAAGCTTCCTTTTAAGCATCTCATTGTTAAAGCTTCCTTTTAAGCATTTTATTGCTAAAGCTTCCTTTTAAGCATTTTATTGCTAAAGCTTCCTTTTAAGCATCTCATTGTTAAAGCTTCATTTAAAGCTATTCAACTAACCGTCCATTGCAATCCTTTGCCCGGTTGTGATTCCAACTTTGACCGAAATTGTGTCTCATCAAATGAAAGCACTCGTTGTGATAATAGAGCCACTTTGATCTAGAAAAATATGATTTTTAAACAATGTTTCTTGTAAAGTTTGAGATTAGAAACACAAAATACAAACCTACTTCAGGACTAATTGATGAAGAAATGTTGAAATTGAGATCCCCGGCAGCCATGAAACGATTCACTCGATCTTTCAGATAATCGGATAACAAGTCGAGGCCCTGAATTCTTAGGTAAAGTCACTTTTTGTAATATAAAATGTAATATAAAATAATAAAGAAATAAAGAAATCTTAAAGAAATAAAGAAATCCAAAAGAAATTTCAAATACCTTTTGATTGACTCTTGAGTAAAAGCCGGCATTTGTTCCGGTTTCGGCGAAGAAGCTATCTGAAAAAGTAAAGTTTACACAAAAGTTTTTAAACTCAAATCAATTTTCGAGTCAATACTCGTCAAAATAATAGTAAAGTGGTGATTATGGGTTAAAATTTGAATTGAATTTCTATGAAAATAACTAATTTCGAGCTCAAATCTCGTAAAAAACGCGGGGTAGGCTAATTTTCGCATTTTTTTTGCGCAACTGGGTCATTTGCGCAACAGGGTCGTTTGCGCAACAGGGTCATTTGCGCAACTGGGTCGTTTGCGCAACTGGGTCATTTGCGCAACAGGGTCATTTGCGCAACAGGGTCATTTGCGCAACTGGGTCATTTGCGCAACCGGGTCATTTGCGCAACCGGGTCATTTGCGCAACTGGGTCGTTTGCGCAACTCGCCATAACTTTCTTCTAAATGGGCGAATCTTTATGATTTTGGTGTCATTTTGTTGCACTTATTGAGATCTACAAAATGAAACCAAGATCATAAAGATCACCATATCATAAAAACCTGTCAAACTAAAAACGCATCTAAATTGCTTCAAATCTGCTGGATTGCGATGATGTTTAGCTCAATAGGTAGATGATCTCAAGAGCTTTCGAATGAACTAAAGCACAATCAAAAAATATGAATGCTAAAGAAAGTTACAGTGGTTTAGCCTGACTCGATCGCTTCGACGATGCGAGTACGGTCTTTTTCGATTACAAACCACTGTAACTTTCTTTAGAATTGATTTTTTGGATGTGTTTTAACCCATTCGAAAGCTCTTAAGATCATCTATCTTTTGAGCTATAGATCATCACAATCCGGCAGATTTGAAGCAATTTAGATGCGTTTGTAGTTTGACAGGTCGCTATTTTGTAGTTTATAGTGTCTACAGTAAGTTCATTGTCTATTAAATCCTTGTCTATTCAGTCATTTTCTATTAAATCATTAGAAACTTACTGGCAATACTTTGTGCTCCGATCGGTGCTATGAGAAAAGTGATTGTGAAGAGGAGGGGGAGTATCAATGACCATTTCATTGCACCCCCTCGCACCCTTTGAGTGCCACCGCTATGGGCGCCTATTCTCTGAAAATGTATGTTTAAAAAAAATGTACTTCTTTTGCTCTCGAGTAATGCGTTTTCTTAGAATGCATCTATTTGAGTAAACTACGTTATTTTCCATTCAATCCGTCCGATTTTAGTCTCATTCGATGAGGAATTAAAAGGCTTAATCAATGATTCGAAAATTGGGTTGATCGGGTGTAAACGAACGGCTTTACTGCAATAGTTTTCTCAAATAGATGCATTTTAGAAAACGTATTGCTCAAAAATAGTACATTCTACTTAAGAAATTGTAAGTTATGCAAAGAAAACAAGAGACAAAAAACATATAAAGCTTGAGATTAACTGAAAAGATTAATTTGGTAGCTTTTGTACTCAGAAATAGACAAAATAACATCATTTCTAGATTATAAACATGAAACTTTTCATAAACTAGCTTTACTGGCAATCAAATAAGGACAGATAAATATATTAGCTTTAAGAGAAGAGCTTATAGAGCTAGAAAAAAGGTAAGACTGGGAAATTTCATCTACTTCAACACTGAAGCTTTACTGAAGCACTTCAACACTAGCTTCAGTGTTGAAGTAGATGAAATTTTCAGAGTTATAGTCAGAGCTAAAGTCATAGCTAAAGTCAGAGCTAAAGTCAGGTAGCTAAAGTCAGAGCTAAAGTCAGAGTTAAAGTCAGAGCTAAAGTCAGAGTTAAAGTCATAGCTAAAGTCAGAGCTATAGTCAGAGCTAAAGTCAGAGCTAAAGTCAGAGCTAGAGCTATAGTCAGAGCTAAAGTCATAGCTAAAGTCATAGCTAAAGTCATAGCTAAAGTCAGAGCCAAAGTCAGAGCTAAAGTCAGAGCTAGAGTCAGAGCTAAATACACTGAATTTCTCTCTCAAATTTATAATCAAAATCATATGCTCAGTAAAGACAAATATTTCTCACGTAATCACATGATAGAAGCCGGTTTCCATTATAAAACTCTAACACAGCAGTGTAATGATTAATTAGAAGTGCTGAAGGAAAGAAAAATGAAGGTAGCTCAATCATCAAAAGTCAAGAGAAAGAAAGGTAAAAGAAAGAGAAAGAAAGGTAAAAAGTGGGGGGAAAAAAAAGAAAAAGCAAGCGAAATGGTGAGGAGAACATGAAGACCTTGTGAGGGAAAGGAGAAAGACAGAGAAGACAGGGAAGACAGTGCTGTAATGCGAGTTTATGAGGTGAATCTCTCCAAGAACGTCCTCAAGGTCGATTTTCCCATTTGCCCGTTTCTTAGAACTTGAAATCGAAAAAGCTTGCGCGCTTTTGTTTGAACTTTTTTAGTTAATTAGTGAAGTCGGTAACAGTACCGTGCCGTCTACAACAAAGGAATCTAGAAAAGCGTTGAGTAGTGGGAAAACACAAGTAAGATTCCTTAAAGATTCATCCTTAAAGAACTGAAAAGCTTTTATGTGAAAAACGGCACTTTAGCGCACTACAGCTTACAGCGCCACTACAGCTTACAGCGCGCACTACAGCTTACAGCGCGCACTACAGCGCGTAGTCTTCAAGACCGTTTTTCTCTAGGTTTTTATTAAAGAGTATACAAAACAAATTCGACTTTTCTATAGCCAAATTTAATGAGGATTCTTTTAAAAGCAATCAAAGGTCTTATACTTCGAGTTATAGACCGTCAACGTTGATTGACTTCTGTGGGTAGGTAAGTCAACTTTGAGAGAGATTTTCTTTTGGCTCTTGACTTTTGAATAAAAGCGATCTCTTGACTACATGAAAGTGATCCCTTGACTACATGAAAGTTATTTACAAGTTGAATCAGCATAGGAGTCTATAGGGTACCTTGATCCTGAATCGATTTCGATCTTCGAGCTAGGATCATTCCCTTGTAAAAGTCTCAAATTTGACATTTCATCAACAAGTGTACAGTAGTTGATAAAGAATGGCCATTCAAGACCATTTAGCAGTTTATACGTACAGTCAGTTAGTAAATCATTGAAAGGATTCTCCAAAAATGATTTACTATCGAGCGTGATTTATTAGGTTGTTCGGATATAAACAAGCGTTGCTAAACTGCTAAACTGCTGAACTTATTGTTGTTAGAGAAGCTTTTAAAACATGCCTTTCTGTATTTAAAAGTACGTTATCTTGTGCATATTTGGAATATTTTTTAAGCGGATAATTTCTTATTTTTAAGATCTTTTTTCTTGCTTTAGATTGCCGAGCCTGGTTCCAACGGCTTCAAATTTCAAGTTTGCGTCTGTCTACTTTACGACTTCAAACTGGGATTCCGCTACAAAACAGTAGCGGAATCCCATTGAGATTTGGTCAAAGCATTTGGTAATGATGTATTGTTCGAAAGCCGATGCCGAGCCTGGTTCCAACGCTTTCGGAATGGTGATGAAAGTCTCGAGGATGATGTACACTGTCGTCGATCTCAAGCAGTAAACAACGATACTTTGTGGTCTGCAATCGAATCGAATCCATGTCAAACGACGCGTGAACTTGCTTGCTACTTGCTCAACAGTTTCTATGTTCAAATTCTACTATTGATGAGCATCTCCATGTCATTGGAAAGACAATCAGATGCGGGAAATGGCTTCCTCACGAGTTAAGCAGTGCAAACGCTCGTTTATAGCCGAATAATCTAACACTATCGAGCTTTTTCCCCTTGTATTTTCTTAAGCGTTTTCAAAAGTGATTTACTATCGAGCGTCGACTGTATCTAGAGATAATAAAGAAGTGAAGAAATTGACAAGAAAAAGTATATTTCCGGATTGAACCCCTCTCCGGGTTCAATCTCCTTTTGCTTTCCGGGCAATTGCTCTAACCATTGATCTATTTGGTACCTTAACTTGCCATGAGAAAGAAAGAAGAGGGAAGAAGAAAGGAAGAAAGAAAGAAGGAGTAGTTGACGTAGTTGATGTAGGGAAAATAGATTTAAAGAACTAAAAAGTATAAAGCATAGATTCTAACAATGTTTATAAGGTATAAGGTTTAAAAGCTATTAGATGGGAAACTTGAAAGTTGGTACACTTATTCATTGCACTTTTTAGAAATAACTATTGCGCTGGATGAACGGATGGACAGACAGTCTTTTATATATAGTAGATATCATAAAATAAGCATGCTTATCACCATAGAAAAGTCACAAGTCAGAAGAAAAGCAATGAAATGAAATTCATAGAGTTTTGCTATTCCCAAAGAGAAAACTTTGACAAGATCAATTCAATGTTTTTACAAACGAAAAAAACCAAGTCGATGCTCAGCACGGCACGCAAATTGTGGCGCGGGATGGGGGACGAATGGGGAGAAGAAAAACGAGAAGCGGTTGGGGGAAAAGAGGAGAGTGAAAGTGCTCCTCATTCGCCTTCCTCGAGGTGGAATGGGAAAAGAAATGAGAAAAAAGGAATCAAGAGACTTAGCTCATCCATCCACCGATCGATTCAGCCATTCAACAGTGGTGATTGATGGATTGGGGATGACTTGGAGTGTTTGGATCAGGATATTCGCTTTCTAGGCTAAAGGTCTTCTTGGGTTGAGCAGCCGGGAAGGAGAAAATTATGGAGGCAGAATGGATATTGAACTTAGGATCAAAAATGTTTCCATGTCAAGAGAAGGGAGATTAGGCCCTTTGTGCCTTTTCCGATGATATATAGATCATTCGACGCAGAATTTTACGCTGATTCGAATGATGTAAAAATTCGCTGCCGAATGGCGGGTAATCACCGAAAAACTGGCCTAAAAGTTTTCAGTCTCTCCTTTTAGGCCGATTTTTGTTCAGCAAACCGTTTATCCAGTGGTAGGTGGCCAAGTGGTTGAGTGGTTGTACAGCAAGCTGAGGGTCAAGGCTCATGTCTTTTGGCTCATGTCGTATGGCTCATGTCGTATGGCTCATGTCATTTGGCTTCTGTCTTTTGGCTCATGTCATTTGGCTCATGTCATTTGGCTCATGTCATTTGGCTCATGTCATTTGGTTCATCTCATTTGGTCACCAGAGTCTTCCCTTGTGAGTAGTTGGACACGCCGGTCCTTTTATGACTTGGGGCTGGGCATACAAAACATGGTTGGCGCCGGGATTCGAACCTGTGACCTCTCGCCTACCAGCCGAACGCTCTAGCAATGAGCTGCACCGACACGTATCCCATTGTCGCCAGGATATGCTTTACTACTGATTTGGCCATTATTTTAGATTTGCTACGGTATCTCGTTCCATCTCAAAGGCAAAGAGTTACAAACTTTTGCATTCTTGCACAGTTGAACACGCCAAATCCTGAGAATATAAAGCTGTGAACACAAATCACACTTCGATTTCGATTCCTTGGCCTTTCGTGCGCTTGTCCGGTAAACGCTCTAGACATTTGTCAAAAATAACCCATTTTTGGCTTGACCTACATTGACAATTTTAGATTTCAACCTTTTCTCCATCAGCTCTAAACTGAAAGTGATTTCCTCTGGCAAGAAGATACCGAATAGCTCAGTGATTAGAGCATCTGCATTCTCAGTAGTTAGAGCATTAAAGCAAAGGATCTAGGGTTGAATCCCCTCTCCAGAAATCTTTCTTTGCTATTTCTTTCTTTACTTTATTCAAAATCAAAGTGATTCTTTCAGTAGAAGTAGATAAGAGTTTATTAAAAGTAGATAAGAGTTTACTTATCAAAGCTCATCTTCATCTTTAATCTTCTATAAGGTTATTTCCAAATTCAGAAGTTGAAATCTTTGTGCTAAACGATAAGATAACGATAAGATATCGAATAAAAAAACAAACAAAAAAGCCATTTGTAAATTTCAAATGATCAACATAAAGTCACAATGAAATTCATTAAGAACCCAACCGAATTCACCATAAAATTCCTAGACAAAAAGATACGCTCAACTTGAAATGGATTGATATCTAGAATGTAGAGAAAATCTCGATTTTCTTCTTTCAGAGAAGTGCTCCTTTCAGCCTCAACAATTCAGGCTTTTTGAGAGGTGGAGAACGGGCTCTCCCCA